TTAAAAAATCTAATCTAAATAAAATTTTTTAACTTTAAACTGAAATAATCAAAATGATAAAAAATCAACCCACATCAAAAATAAACCCTCAAAAGACACGGGGCAAATGACAGGTTATTATAATGGGGCCTTGCTAATTCAGTCAAAAAACCTAACCATGGTTAAGTTAAGAAGGCATGATGATGAATGTTAAGTTAACTCTGTCCGTTTCATCATTCAATTCCTCTCTCATAACAGTACCAGCTCCTCCAGAGCGAGTGGGACCCATAAAAGGACTCAGCTTTGTCGTTTTGTGATGACTCATCACCTAAAAGGTTTAAAGCACATCAACTGACAAAATAAACCCTCAAAAGACGCGGGGCAAATGACAGGTTATTATGGCCTCGTTTGTGAAGTGGTTATTTTAGTAGGTTATTTTAACTTTTGGCTATTTTAGTAGGCTAAAATTTTTGTGTTTGGAAAGATGATTGGATTTTTTTGTGGTTGGATGTGATGTTTGTAAGAGAAAAAGTGAAATGATTATGGATTTGATGTGATATTTTTTTTTATTAGCTATTTTAGCCTATTTTATCTTTTTGTGATTTTTAGCTTAAATTAGGCTTTTTTTTTTCTTTCCAAACACCCCCTATAATGGGGCCTTGCTAATTCAGTCAAAAAATCTAACCATGGTTAAGTTAAGAAGGCATGATGATGAATGTTAAGTTAACTCTGTCCGTTTCATCATTCAATTCCTCTCTCATAACAGTACCAGCTCCTCAGAGCGAGTGGGACCCATAAAAGGACTCAGCTTTGTCGTTTTGTGATGACTCATCACCTAAAAGGTTTAAAGCACATCAACTGACATGATTCCCTCTGTACATACATATATACATATTTAGTTTGTATTTGTAGAGTAATTTTTAAAATAAAAAGTCCGAATATATATTTGATTTGTCTTTTTTTAGAAATAATTTTAAAAAATTATTTTAGAGAAAGAGTTTTAAAAAAAATGATTGATTTGATGTGTATGAGAGAAAGAGTGATTTTAGAAAGTAGGTAATCAAACTGAATTTTGAGATTTTTTTTTAAAATTTATTTGGTTTGATTACTCTTGAAAATTTATTCGTAAAGAATTTTTCCCAAAATTTTTTCGAAAAACAAACCAAACCTAGCCAATATATTTTATTTGTCTGCTCCAATCTTCTGTATTATTATAAAGTGAACACTATGAATGTGTTTGTTTGAACGAATTGAATAAATAGAGATTGTAATTTATTAAAATGTTAGTTTTGAGATATATTATTCTTGAATTATTTGATTGGACTGGATTTGTATCTTATATTTGTTTAATCATGAAATTAGATGTCTGAATTGAATTATTTTTAGCCCTCGTTTGGTTTTTTCATTAGAGCTAAAAAAGTACAAAAAGACAAAGGGGTGTTTTGGGAAGTTGGTAAAAAGCTGACTTTTTGGCTTTTTGACTTTTTTGGTGGCTTTTTTGGCAAAAAGCTGGGTTGTTTTGGGTAAAAAAGATGGCTTTTTTGGCTAAAAAAGCCAAAAAGCCAAAAAGCTGGTTTTTTACCATTGTTCCCAAAATAGGCCAAAATAAACTGTATAAGTTAATAAGACAAAATATAGCTTTTACCCATAATCATTACATTTTTTTCTTACAAAAGTCAAAAAAGTCACAAAACAAAAACCAAACGAGGCTAAAAAAGCTAGACTAAAAAAGTCCAAACACAAAAAAATTGGCTATATTAGCCAATGCCAAACGACCCCTTAGTGAATCCAACGTTTGATTGGACAGAATGAATAAAGATAAATGTTCAAAAGATTATTTTACCCTTATAATTTATAGTTTTTATTTAATATATAATTTTAAATTTGTAATCTATAATCTTTAATTTATAAGTCCATAATTTTTAATGTATTATTTTTAATTAAATTAAATTTATAATTTATATTTTTTATTTAATATATAATTTTAAATTAACAACATTAAAAAAATAATTTGTAAATGTTCAAAAGACTATTTTATCATTTTCTAATTGTTTATTAAGTAATAGCGTTAGGGTAAAATAGACATTTTATACATTAGTCCTATGGGATACCAATCCCATGGAAATAATTCCACCCCTTCTCTAAGGATACAATAATCACTCATATGAGAGACTAATAATCCGGAGAAACTATTAATCTGGAATAAAAAAATTGAACCAAACAATAGATTATTAGTCAATTCGGACCAATAGTCCACCCCCATGGAATAATCAATCAAAACAAACACACTCTATAATGCCAATGGGTTCGTTTGGTAAAAAGATTTGGGTTGGGTTGGGTTGGGTTAGGGCTATTTTAGTTATAAAAAAAAAAAAAATTTTTTTACCTTAATAAGATAAAATGTTACACTTAAATTATAATCATTTCATTTTTTTGCTCACAAAAGTTAAAAAATTTAAAAAATTTATCCCAAACAAAATTTTTTAACCACATTCTAAAATAATTAAAAAGTCAAAAAATCAACCCCCATTTCAAACCAAGGCAATGTCTTGAAACTTTTCTTTTTTTATGTCAAGTATCTATTTTTTTATTCTAATCAAAAATAATTAAATAAATAAAAGCGAGACATGAGACTTAAAAATTGAACTTTTTATTTGTTAAAAAGGACTTTTGCGACTTAAATATATACACACATATGAGATACCAATAACTTAAAAAAATGTTTTATACCATTAATTCAACACCGTTAATACACTACTAATAACATGGTATCATGTGGACCTCATTATTAATGTGATAATTTGATCTTTATTTATTTATTTATTTATTATTTCTTATACTTGTCAACTCATTAGTGGTGTTTTTAGAACTGTTGATTTAGTGCTCTAAATCGGAACTATGTAACTTGTACATATAGTACTCAACTACTACCTTGTTAAGTAGATTTTTTAAACTTTTATGAAATATGAATTGAATTTGAAGTGATATAATAGAGAAGTGATATGACTTAAATAAGATAATGTAACTTAAATAGGATAATGACTTTTTGAATTTTTAACTTTTTTTAGAAGGTGCCAAACCTAACCTAAATGTTTAAAAAAAAAAAAAAACACACGTACTACCTAAAATAAAAAACAGTGTAGTAAACTGGCCTTGTAAGACAGAGAAAAGAGTGGTGGTTAAAAATTGAGATTCTTTTGGAAAATGAGTATTGGTTTTTTAATTATTTTAATTTGGGATTAAAAAGTTTTGTTTGGGATGAATTTTTTAATTTTTTTGAGTTTTATAAAAAAAAATGTAATAATTATTGATTAGATGTGATGTTTTATCTTATTGAATTAAAAAAAAATTATTTTAATTTTTTGTGACTATTTTAGCAAAAAAAATCCTAATCCTCAACTTTCCAAACCAATACTAATGGATTGGATGAAGGAAAAAACTTTTCAAAGCCTCCGTTTGGGAAGTGGGTTAGCTTTTTGATTTTTTGGCTATTTTAATCTGGGGCTAAAAAGCCTGGTTTGGGAAAGACTTTTTGACTTTTTGACTTTTTTTGTGAGAGAGAAGTGTAATGATTATGTGTTAGATTTGATGTTTTATTTTTTTGTAGCTAAAATAGCGTATTTTGTTTTTTGTGACTATTTTAGCCCCTAACCCACCAAAACCAACTTCCCAAGCTATGCTAAAAACCCCTTTGATAAATTACATTCACCTCCTCTAAAATTTTAAAAAATAAAATTAACTCTATATTTATATTATCATATCTTATTTACTAAAATGTATATTTATTGTTATTTATTTTAATGTTTAACCACAATCTGCATTAGTTTTAATTGATTTTGTCTTATTAAAAGATAAGTTAATGTAATTAGAGTTAAAATATTGGGCTAATTGTATTTTTTTTTCTTCAAATTTTAAGAAAAAAGTGTAATTTTATTAAAGGATAAGTTAATGTAATTAGAGTAAAAATATGGAGTAACTTTATTTTTTTTCAAATCATAAGAAAAATAAGTGTAATTTCCCTAAAGGATGACTGTATTATAAAATGACTCTTTTACCTATCAAAATGTTATTGATATGAATAATTATTTTTAATTAGACCGTGCATGTTGCAATTACAAAATTTTAAAAATAAATAGATGAAATTAATAACTTATAGAAAAAATGCAAAAAAAAATAATAATAATAATAATAATAATTTAAGAAATAAAAGTGAAATTAATCAAAAATAAAATTTATATATATGAATTTTATACAAAATATTATACCTCATTTTCACTTATTGGAACAAGGACAGAAGCACTGAATTCATTTTCAAGGAATGAGTACATTCACGATGAATGCATTACTACCCATATTGTAATTTGTGTATTATTTTGAATTTCTTTTGGAAAAAAAATATATATATATAAAAAATCTCAATAATAAATTAAACGTAACTTCTTAGTTGTTTCAAAAAACTCTTAACCATAAAATCTTAAACCATGATTGGGAATTGTTCAATCATCTTTCTACAAGGAAGAGGCTAAATATAATTAATTTGAATTCATAACTGCTATTCAAAAATGGTTAAATTTATTAAAAGTTGAAGATTTAAATTATAATAATTAATTCCTCCTTCCCAAAATAATAGTCTATTTTATGGTAATATAATTATTACACTTTAAAAAAAATTAATTTTTCAAAATTACTCTTTGAGGAATATCAATTGTCATAATTATACTTTTTGTATTGTTAATGAATTGTAAAAAAATGACAAAATAGAAAATTCATATTACTCCTATAGTTCTTAATTTTTGAAAATAGACTAATTTTTTGTGACAATAAAAAATAAATTAAAAAGTTAATATTTTGAGATGGAATAAGTACAAAATTATGATTTAATTTGTTATTAACGTCAAACCTTAGAGGTTCTTTTTGCAATTTTCTCGTTTTTACTTTTTGTTGCTTTCAAATGTTCACAAATACAGTATCCTATACGTAAATATTTACCAAAAAAAGAGTGAGCAGTATTGGAGAAGCTCACTCTGCTTCTCTGATTTTGATGCACATAATAGGAGAGAGAGAAAGAGAAAGAGTGAGAGAGAGAGAGATTGGGACTTGGGAGGAGTAGTGTACAAGTTTTGCACACAGCATTCATTCATTCAAACCCCCAAAAAGAAACACAAGGGGCTTGGGATCTTTTCTGCATTTGGGTATTTTTCTCTCTAAAATTGACCAAAGGAGAGAAAAACCAGGTGGGCATTCCTTTCAATCGTTGTTCCACTGAACCCTATGATGCATATGCATTTCTCAAAATTTTCTTGGGTTTCTTGTAAATGATGAGTAGGATTTAGCATCAAAGCTTGGTTTTCTTTTTACTTTTCATCTTCATTTGCAAAAACTCTCATTTGTCAGAACTTTAATCTGTGTATCATCCATGGAGTTTCCCCATCTGGGTTATGATGCATCTGTGTAAATATTTGCTTATGTGTTAATACATATTTAGATAAAGATGATCAAGGGGTTTTCCCATTTGGGATTTTGGGTATTACCAGTGGGGAAGATGAAAGGGGAAAAAAAAAAAAATTTCAAGTTTCAATGTCACTGTCTCACTAAGATTCAAAATGGTCTTCAAAGATTTTTGTCTGCATTTTATTTAATTTATTTATTCATTATGTTTCTCCATATGGGTTATGATGCATGAGTGAAAATTATTGTTTGTGTTGATACGTATTAGATAAAGATGATCAAGGGGTTTTCCCATTTGGGATTTTGGGCTTTTTTACCAGTTGAAAAATCAAAAATCAAAAATCAAGTTTCATTGTAACTATCTCATGAAGATTCAAATGGTCTTCAGAGATTTTTGTTTGCATTTTGTTATTTATTTATTTTTTTTTTCCTACCTGTGCACTATGGAGACTGTTCATCACTTTACTTTGCATTTGATTTGACATTTCTGGTTTGTGTTAGTGGTTGGAGATTTTTCGTATACAATTTACTATGTGCAGTACTGATATGAAGATCTTTCAATCCATTCAAGCTGTGTATCTTTGATTTTGAAGGCCCCAGAAAGATTCTCATCTGGCTCTTGCATGTACTTGATCACTGTTCAATTTGTTATTGGCATTGCTCAGTTGTTTTCTTTAACATTTACAATTTTACATTGAAAACAATTCATTTCTAGATTTAATATAATCTTGATTTATAAATAATAAATCAGTTTGATGTAGATATATTATTTCTTTGTCCAGTGCAGCTCATGGGTCTGATTTCCTTGCACAGTTCTTTGTCTTCACATGTTCATGTTTGTTAAGTTAATATTGAATTTTTTTGTTTTTGTTTTCTTTTTTGTGGAACATCAGAGTAGGGTTTTTGGTGTTTTCAAGAGGGTTTTGAGGGTTTGAGATAATGCTGAGGAAAAGGAGCAGATCACAACAGAAAGATCAACAACACCACATGGTGTCTGATGCTAATCCTGAGTCCTGTTTTCAATCTGATGTTTTGGGTTTGCAAAACAAAAACAATTCCTTTTTCAATGTCCCTGGTGTGTTTGTAGGGTTCAGCCCTAAAGTTTCAGAGTCTGATTCAGTTTGGAGCCCAACCTCTCCCTTGGATTTTAGGGTTTTATCAAATCTAACCAACCCTTTTAGGTCCCCAAGATCATCATCCCATGAGGGTAGGCATCAAAGGAGGTGGGATTGCAATAAAGTAGGCCTGGGCATTATTGATTCTCTTGATGATGCAAAACATTCTGGGAAAATTCTCCGATCATCGGATAGTATGAATATTCTTTTTGGACCACAGATGAGGATTAAAACCCCAATTTGTCGAAATGGGATTGATTTTCTTGAGGCACCCAAGTCTTTGCCAAAAAATTATGGAGTTTTTCCTCATACCCAGATCAAACAATCCAATCTTCATATGGGTAGCAACTCTAATGTTCTGTTTGGTATCGGAGAAACCCCATTCAAACCTGAGAAAATGATATCTTTTTCACTGGATTCTGGGAGGTCTGGGTCACATCTAACCAGTTTTGCAAACCATAGTGCCGATTCAAGTTTTGGGAATTTTGGTTCTGGAAATGGAAAAACCCCAGTGAGCTTGCCTTCTCAATTAAGCGGAGGAAGCCAAAATTTTGGCGATTCATTGGCGACAAAGCTGAATTCAATCCCGATTTCTGTTAGCTCTGGCCATGATTTTATTGGGTCCCTATCGGCAAGTGAGATTGAGCTTTCTGAGGATTATACTTGTGTGAAAACATATGGTCCAAACCCGAAAACAACTCATATTTTTGGTGACTGCATTTTAGAATGTCACGACAATTGCTTAACTGACTTGTCTAAGAATGAAGAACAGAAGATTCGATTGCCTTTGGCGGCAATTTCAGTTAATTGCTCTGAAGTCCCTCCTCTATATCCATCCATTGACTTTTTGAGCTTTTGTTACTCTTGCAAGAAGAAGCTGGAAGGAGAAGATATTTACATGTACAGGTTCGCCACAAATATATTAATGCTTGAAAAGATTGTACTTTCTTTAGTATTACACGCACTTTTATGCAGAATGCATAGTCTTTTAAATCTTTTTAGGGCACATAATCATTGTTTTATATGCTGCATTTGTAATTTTTTTCTGTTGAGAGACCGGGTTTTGACGTTTTGCAGAGGTGAGAAAGCGTTTTGCAGTTGGGGTTGCCGTTCACAGGAGATTTTGATTGAGGAGGCAATGGAGAAAACTGACATTGCTTCTCCTAAAAACTCTCCAGAGGCAAACAGCTGTGAGGAACATTTGGAAACCGGCATGTTCATCGCTACATAAAGGGTTGCAGTGGTGATTGCTTTCCTCTAGCCACTATGCCCATGATTGATGAAATCGTCACAAAGGTATACAACGCCCCTTGATCATCTGTTTGTCAAGAGCTGTTTATGATCATCGCGTGCATTGGTCCTTTTGCTGATTGTTATTTCATTGTTCATGGTCTTAGTGGGTAGTAGTGAGTTAAAAGACCATCTAGTTTTGCTCTTAATAATCCTGACATGGCTATCGATAATAATGTTAAACTTTGAGGGATTATTATGGTTAAGGCAATAATTCGTAAATTACTTACCTACAAGACCATTTGATTAAAATGTTCTTCTAAGGTCTATTGTGTGTGCTCTCCTTTTCTTTTTCTTTTTTTTACATATAAGATTAAAATATAGGTACAATGTCTATCTCACTACCACCACCCATAGCACCCTACCTATCATCTTCTCTAAATTGGATCCTCAGTACCGAGCCCTCCGCTCTTCGTAGCCTATATCTCATATCTCAGTTCATATTGTCCCTTTGTTCGGTCTGTCAAGTTCACAAGATTGGTATTTAACCACTTACCCCATTGACTCACCAGCATTTGAAGGGTAGATTTACGTGCCGTTGAGCAGCAAACTAAAGGCAGTTAGTAATCCTCTCAGGTGATCCAAGTGGTGATGGTGGCAATGGTAGAAGTGCTGCATATGGGTAAAAATGACTTTTTACTTATATTTTGCACTCAAATTTTTATACCCTCCACTTTAGAAGAACTTTCTTATTTGATGAACTTGTGGGTAAAATAACTTTTTCAATTATCACCTTAACTATAATAATCCCGAACTTTTTCAAATTAGTATTCGACTGAAAAGGGCAATAGCGTATCCCCTACCCCCCTTTTCTCTATTTTGGCAGGAGTTCATGTATAAGCCTCCAAACTCTCTCATAAACAACAAGCATTTGCCTGTTCAATTTTCGGACAAGAGGGTTATGGGAATGAAGAGTTGAGCAGTGTTTGTTATTTTACTTTGTTCCCCTCGGAATTCAAAATCTAGTTTACCAGTGTTCTTTACATAAGCAAGAGCTATTTTGAAGCATATCGAATCCTTTTTTTTTTTTATTTTTGTTGTTGATATCTCTGCTAAATTCCTAGTAGTTTCTCTATTGTTAGCGTGAGATATGATCTTTACAAGGATTGACTATTGGATAGGAATGTTCATGAGTTGGCCTTCTTTTGAAAAATGGATTAAAATCACTTCTCAACTTTTAAACTATTTTAAGTCACGGCATCTTTCATATTTTTTTAAAAAAATTCAAATAGTCAAAAAAAATCAACTTTTAATGGTAGTGAATGAAGATGATGATGACATCTATCATTTTGTTTTATTTTTTCGTAAATCTAAGTTCCAAATACAATCTAAGATCTCGTTTGAGAAGCGACCAGTTTAGTCAAAAGTTACTAAAAGAATCAAAAAACTAACAATTCATATCAAAAGGTTGAAAATTTTCTTTTTTTTTTTTACTTTTTGCATATCTTTTCGTGAAAAGTTAAAAAGTCATCTCAAACATATTAGTTTTTTTTATATCATATTTTAGTCAAAAAGTTATTAAAAAAATCTGTTCTCAAACGAGGCCTAAGTATAAAGTAGAAATTTCCTGCGAGATAGCAATTGATGAAAAATCTAGTTCATGGTGAACGGACATCCAAGTTGCTCATGAAATAATTATTTTCCTTTCCTCCAAGAAATGATAGCTGCATAAAATTAAAATAAAAAAAAATACATAAAAATATAATGTATGGCTAAGATTTATATTGCTCATTATGTGGGCTAGAAAAGCAGAATCTAAACTTCTGTAGGGGCCATAACATCAAATTGGCAGAGAAAATAGGAGTCCTGATCTTCTAAAGTTATTTTTAAAGTCACTATTTGTATTATTGTTTTCTCAAATTTTGAAAAATTATCATCCATACAAAAGACTACTTCAAGAAAAATTATTCTAGAACTCAATGGCACTTGTGCCATTTACAAGTAGGGTTGCAAATTGTGAATGAGCTCGAGATCCAGTCAAGTTTAAGTTGAATTCGGTTTGAATTCAATTCATTTAAGTTTGGGGTACTTACACACGTACTTTATTAAGTCTTATATAAGATTTAAAATTTGGGACATTTACACACATAATTTATTAAGTCTTAAATAAGATTTTTAAGTCTCATTAATTTTTAATGGATGAAATTACTCTTCAAATAATGGTTATTCATGATTTGTAAGTGTTTATAAAAAAATAAAAAAAAATCAATAATGATTGGTAGTTCGAATTTTCATGACCCGAATGGTTCGAATGTTTCAAAACGATATCGTTTTAGGGATAAAATGACGTCATTTTAATACATTTAAGTCATTCGGGTCACACAAATTCGAGCTACGAAGTATTTTTCAAAAAAATGTAGTGATATGATATTTATTTTGATTTTTAAAATTTTAAATCATCATATAAAATATATATTTCTAAAATCAATACAAGGAAATCTATCAAAAAAGATTAATGTTAAATACAAAATTATATAAAAATAAAAATGTTTTTTTATTATAAATTTACAATTTAAATAATTTTTAATAGTAAGGTTTCTTAACTCAGTTAACTAACAATATTTATTTGGTCTAATTTTTTTAGTTTTTTTCAGATTGAAAAATGAAAAATTATCAGTTTAAAATTAGAGAAATTAATTCAGTTTTTAAAATGGAAAAAATTGAGAAATTTTTGAATTTTACTGGATAATTTTGTTAGTTTTGTATTGCTAAAAAAAATAATATTTTCTTTTTATAAAATTTTATATTCAATATTGATTTTATTTGATAAATATCATTATGTTGACTCCAAAAATGTAATTTTTATTAAAAATAAATGTATATAATAAAAATTTTGAAGCAACAAAACAATAGTAAATATCACATTGGTAGTGTCCACATGAACTTAGAGAAATTATCTAATACTTTTGAGGCATGGTCAAATGTTTAGTAAGAGATTTGTGATTGGTTAAAAAAGTGAGGTCACAATTTTGTATTGAGACATAAAACATAATGTTTGATAATTAGTGACTAATATTGTCATGTAGTGCAGTTAGAGCACCTAATGATTTTTTATTAGTACTTATATTGAATTGACACTTTCTAAATTCTTTTACCTTTTAGTAAGGGTAAAACAATTATGAAAAATGATTGGGGCCTCAAAATTTTGAGGCTCGAATGCCTCGAAATTATTTATTTTTTTGGATTGCGTTGGTTTGATTTTTTTTTTCTTTCTTTTTATTTCTCTTGCAAAGGTGATTATGTGTAAGAGTGTGTTAAAAAATTAGAATATCCCACACTAAATCAATTTGCGTGATTTGATAAAGTGAGTGAATTAGGTTAAATTGATGAAGTGATAAAATTAACTGAACAATTACGCTACAATTTTCAGATATTTTCAAATTCCGTTAGTTTACAGCCTTAATCACAACGGTCCACAACAGTACATTATATCCTTCTCTGTTATTTCGGAAAAGGACATGGACTTCGCACTTTATAGGCATGTCAACGAGAGCAGTACCCCCACATGCTTACCCAACTCACTAAAAATAATTCTTCAGAGCATCTTTCTTTCACTTTCCAGATTTTAACCTTAAATTTTTACATTTTTTTTTTTTGTTTAAATTTCGTTTGTATCTTCAAAAAAATTTCACTGTTTCAAAAATATTACTTGAAAATTATTTTCGTGATTATGATGATATTTCTCAAACAAGCTGATCACTTCTTTCAGTCTTCTAGTTTATGAATGCATACTCATCAAATACTTGCTTCTTTTGAATTGTGTGTTCGGAGTCCCTAGTTTTAGACCCAAAAAAATGCAGCAAAATATACATGCATACAACACTCATCACCGGTTTCAAACCATGGGTTTTTGAAGTATGCTACCCATAGTATCTTTAAAATGCGGCAAAATACATCATCTTTTTATCCACAATCACAAGCTTGGGCTATTTGAAGATGCCGAAGCATTCAAGGGCAGCAACGACACTATCAGAAGTTGTGTTGATCAAATGAATGGTTCACAAGCACAGATCTCCCTTGAATAGAAGATCATATGCAAACCAAGACCAGAGATCCCTCTATGGGACTACTTTCTCTAAAATGAATGCAAGGAAGAACATTGCTGTTTCAACCTTTGGCCAAAAGAGTTTGCTGTAACAAATTATGATTTTACTGCTGAAACCACTTCCCCCATAAGTAGAATGAAAACCCATGAAAACTAGGAAAAACGCTTTCTAAAGAGAATTCTAAAGAGAAGTAACATGCTAATGACAAGGAGAGAAGTCTGAAATTGATGCAAAAGGAAAAATGTCTCTCTAAAAGTGGTTGGGAAATAAAGGTATTTTGCTTGAGCACTGGCTGATATTGACAGAACATAGGGAAATGAAAGAAAATGGAAATCGATGATGCAAGAAAAGCAAGCATGTGAAAAGATGCAAGACCTCGATGCTCTCCAACTTCCATTGACGAGGGTGGAAAGGTTGGGTGAGGCCCCAAATGTTGGGTCAGGAGAGCCACAGATTGATGCAAACAAACACACACGAGAGAAACACAGAGTTTACGTGGTTCGGCAATAGCCTACGTCTACGGGCAGTGAAAATTTTATATATTTTGAAGAGATACAAATTCATTCAGTGTTTCCTCACCACTTTTTTCTTCTTCAATTCAATGTTGGTATATCAAAATACAATAACTTACCTATCTATTTATAGGCTTCTACTGAGGGTGAGATGCATAGGCGGTAACGGAAATTTCACCGTGTTTTGGACGCATTCTGGAGTTTACAGAGCTTCAATCCAAATTGAAATTTTCTACTTGCTTCTGGATCATTCAGGAGCTTCTGGTTCCTTCTTTAAATTAGAGAAGAGAAATCATTCTTCTTTTGTCTTTTTCTTTCTTCGTAGAGAAGTTTGAGCCAACTTTTCCGCACCAAAGTCAATTGCATGTTTTCTTGCGAGTGCAACCATATGTGTCAATCGCCAGCCATTCCATTTCACTTACCTCTTGCTTGGCGCGTGTTGTAAGGTTTGCAGTTGGGGCATTTCTGACCCAAGACATGAAACCGCACTTCTGATGTGGTTTCGCAATCATTGCATAAGATCCGAATTTGCAAGAAAATTGACATCAGTTATCTGTTAACAAACTCCATTGCAGAACAAAATGCAATACTAACATGCGAGAGAGAGAGAGACCATCTTGTTTTGGTAAGGTTCCGGCGTGGGTATAGCAGCAATCTCCATGCCATATCTCTCCCACACCTTTGACATATCACAGATTGACTTGAAGCA